AGGGTTCATGGGCAGGGATTAGTAAAGACTTCCCCAGTTTCCTACTGTAGTGATAGGGCTAGACACGTTGCAGCCAAGTAGTTTATTTGTGTTTGATCATTAGTTTCTTGAGTAATGGGAAATTCACTAGAAATTTCCTTTATTCCTTTCTCTTTTGAAATTTCTCGTTCACTTTGCACATAAGTAGACAGCAACAGTTCTAAATCAAAGGGTTTTTAAAAAATAATGCATAATTAATTCTTTTCTTGAGGTATGAGTAGGGAATGGATTTTTCTGTGCTAAAGTTGGTAAAAACGTTTCATTTTGTCAGGTATTTTAAAATGCTATGATATGGTATATGTCTTATATTGGTCTAGGTCTATATTAAGAACCCTGTCACATTTTCTTAAATAAATTTCCATGCCTGACATTTGCTTTCAGGAGGAGCTAGACATTTAAGGCACTGAGATCCAAGTCATGTTAAGTGTCTGATGTACACTGATGCTCCTCTTGTTGATTCTGTCCTTACCCATGCATTTCCTTATCTGGATTTGTCTGTAAAAACATAGAGATATAAGAAAAGATACTTGAAAAATGCTAAAATGAAAATTATAGTAACAAGGAAAGCTATTTTGAGATGTTATCCACTCATATTCTCTGAAATCTTTTTTTTACTGGTTGGAAACGTGTGATCTTTTTGGATAACATATCAAATAAATTTGGGAATTTTTTTTAACAGAAAATGAAGCATACTTTTATGATATGTATTTTTTTTCCTTAAAGGCCTAGGAAAATGCATTTACATTTATTACAAGATGATAGTGCATTTTGACCTTTCCTGGAGCATTAATTCTCCAGGAGAAAACATCAGATTTATTTTGATGAAAAACATTTCTTCAAAATATGTAGGGCATAATAATAACAATAATAACTTAGGGTATTATTTGTATAAAACAATTTTTGCACATTTATATTTACATGCATTGGCATTTTTTTAAAATACCCTGAGATACTGTTGGCAATGAATAAGTTACAAGGGATTTGTCCATTTATCTGTATTTGAAGAACTTCTAGAATTAACAAGAAGGATTTTTTTTTCTTGGGTTTTTTTTTGCTCTCCCAGGAGGTTCTATATGGTCCTTTAAAGGCTTAACTGTCTCAAAGAGCTGATGATTCATTTTTTATAGAGTATTTAGAAATGGCATTGATTTCTTGATTTCTGACTGAAAGCTCCAGAAAAACCATTTGAGATTTGTTACATTAGGATTAAAGACACATTATTTTCTAAGTTCAAAAGCTTAAATCAACCCACACCCAGATGAATGTGATTCATTTGCTTATTGCATGCTACCAGTGGGTTTCTTGTTACCAGAAAGACTCTTTTGTTGACTGGGAAACGCAGAAATCTCCTATAGTCTGAACAAGGAAGTTAGATAGCAGGAACCTCTTTCTCTCCAAAGCCAACATCGAAATCTTTAAGGAAAAATTTAGAATGTTATGTTGGATTTTTATTTACTTGCTGAATTGGGTATTTAGAGAAGGAATCTGTAGGAGTTTGCTTTGGACATCTCAGTTCCACCTGGGGTCTGAGTTCCAGCTACAATTTCTAACTGCTGGGTTTTTTTCCCCCTATGTTTTCCAGTTTCTGCTTTGCTCAAAAATGTTGCAGTTTGGTTAATTCATGAGTTGTTACTGAGATGGAAGGTTGGGTTAAGATGCATTAATCAAACTACGTGGTGAAAAAAAACCATTTTCTTTCCTTCTTCCTCCCTTCTGGTTTTGCAAAAAGTTTTTAAAAGCTGCCTAATCTCCTCTGAGGCTGCAGGTATTACCAGAAACTTCCTGGGAGAAAGGAGAAAAAAAAGGAGATGCAACACAAACCTTCATCTTTTCTATCAGGCTGCTTAGTCCAACTTTTAAGACATGATTTTGCATCTGAATAAAGTATAAGAATATGCTGGAGATTGCAGAATAAAGATCAGAGAGGACAGGTATAGAAAGAGATAAGTAGATCTAATCCATATGGGCTTTACCAGCAAAGTCTACTGGCTGTAGGTGCAGTTCAGCCTTGCCAAATGATACTTTTCCACATGGCTCAAATAACTCAGTTACTTGTCTAAATATACCATCAAAAAGTGTCTGTCTGACTGAAAAGCAGGGGGACTTTGAGGTGCTCCTCTTCCTTTCCAGCTTCTTTGGGTCCAGGTGCTTGGTTTTCTTCACTTATAACTTGGAGGGGAGAAGAAAGAAGAGCCAGATAATTGTTCTCAGGGATCAGCTTAACATGGAAGTAAGGACAAGGTGATTGCATCCACAGTATAATCATAGTCTGTATTTGCCTCCAGGACTTTACTGTCATAGAAATATTTGTGTACTTTCACACTGATGTTATGCCAAAGACTTTCACCGAAACAGTAAACACAGTTTTAAGTCCTGAGTATGAAGATGGATAGCTAATGCTTTATTGGTAGATGAAAAAAAGAACAGTATTAGAAAAGTATATTTGGACCAATGGCTAGATAATCTAACTTTGCTATATGTTATTAAACAAACAATAAATACTTTCAACCAGAAATAAACCCCCCAAAACATGATAAATGAGCATTTTTTTCAGTTTGTTACTAAGCCAGGGCCATGCTTGTGTCCATATAGTAACAGAGATGGTAACAAAGAGCGACTAACAAAATAGGCATGTTCCTAACCAATTGCAGGATCTAAGACAGTTTGGGGGGGGTTTTTTTGGTTTTTTTTTTTTTGTAGGATAAAACAAAAAACCCCACCCCAAACAACCGAATACACAGAAAAGCTTGCATGAAGGCACACCTTTCTTTAAACAGTCTGTGATCATGAGCTGATTACCAAAATGAATGTGCTTCATTTAAAAATCAGGATTTTTTTTATCTGGATGGCTTTTATCTGTCGGTTCAGCTGGATATTATTGCCACATAACTCTCCTAGGGTGCTGTTTCCACATGCTTACTTATGCAGGCAGAAACTTTAGTGAAGCCATGAGCAACTTTGCTAAGTATAGGATACTGAGGGTGTAGGTCAGAAAACGTCTCTTTGAATAACAAAAACATGTCTGAGATGTGCACTTTCTTGAGTGAGTGTATTTTATTCTCTCCTGATAGTGAAAGAAAAAAAAATAAATAAGGCATTGTTCATTCAGGACATTAATTTACAAATATCATGAGAGTTTTCCCTGAACGACTTGCATGAATGCTCCTAATCGTATAGGACTTCATTTTATCCTGGAGTCTATCTCGGAGAGTCAGATGTAGTTCTTTGATTTCTCCTCTCTGCTTAAGTGCTCAGTCATTATAGTTTGAGTTTTTGCCAAAGTGGATGGATGAAAGGTTTATATTCTTTAAGATGTGCTGTGCAGCTGCTTAAGGCATGACTGTCTTAGCAAAAAAAAATCCCCAAACAAGATCTAGATTTCAAACATTTTAGTCTCGCAAGTAAGAAGGAAGAGTAGTTCTCAGCTGAGCACTGAGCAGCATGCAAGCAGTTTTGGACTACTTCATCAGTGTGATCACAGAATGCCTACCCCTGCAGCACACTGCTTTGGTTCCCTTTGCATGTTATTTCCTTGCTTCCCGCCGTGTCTTTCTGTAATTAGTTTTCATGCTTAATCTGAACATGAAGACAACACTTCTTTAGGAAACTATAAACAAACCGAGTATTCTTTCTGCTTCTTGGCTACTGGATCATTTACCATTTTTCAGTTTAAGCAGGTACATTGCTGTTCATCTTTTCTTAACTTACAGGATTTGTGTTTAGCAAGCCAGGCTTTTCATAGCCTTAGTTTTATCAGAGTAAGTGCATCTGTCTTGTTGGAAAATGCTTTCATCTTGAGATTTAAAAACTTTGCTGTATTTCAGCACATTATTTTCATGGCACTAGATTCAATTCTTCCTCCTTTAAGTGCTTTTATCATAGTTGTCACTGGCAACAGAAACCATGGTCTTTAATCAGTCCTTCCAACATTGCTGTGTGGTAAGTAGCTGGAATGGGCATATGATTTAGAAATGAGTAACTCAAGCAAACATGATAAATGAACTGCTGATCTTTAAATCTTTACTGGCAAGTGTACAAGTTTTAATTGAGAAAGGATGAGCACATAAAATGTGAGTTACTGTGAAAGTTCAATCTGAACTTGAAACTGAAGTCTGTGGTTTCTTATATTCTGAAAATATTTCTAATTTCCATGCCCTTTTATATATTTTTCCTGTGATATAAAGCTTGCTGAGCTTTAGGACAGCAGAGAGGCAGTGTAAGTACTCAAAAATTAGGAAACATAGAAATGAAAATTAGTTCAGCATTGGGATAATGCTGAACTACAAACCTTAAAGTGTTCAGTAAATAGGAGCACTGTTTCTGTACTGATAGTTACATTTGGGTGGCCAGACCTAAAAAACAAAGGCGAAAAACCTTTTCTAGTGCCTTATTTAATGAATTATTTCAATTTTCTGATGAGGAGAGAATTTCTAAAACTAAGTTTCCTGCTGTAGTATGAGTTTAACAAGTATCACAGAGATGCTATGAAATGAATATGCTAAGAGTGGAAATATTCTGTCTTCATTTTACAGGGAAGAAAACAAAGTACGGAGACATTTAAGCCTCAAATTTTCATGTTCTCTAATTCTGTATGCTCTTTTAAATGCCCAGAGTACTTGGAATTATTTATTTTCATAATGAAAATAGACTTCCAAGGGTCTTCGTATGCACCTTTTTGCATGATCAGCATTTCTGTGGATCTGGATCTCAGCAAATGGATGCACAGAATATTTAGTGATCAGCTGTGAGAAGTTTAGTTTGCTTAAGACTGAGAGCTCCAGGACTGAGGAGATAAATGTCACGTCAGTCAGGTCTCCCAGGAAGGTACTGAACTGCCTTAACCATATGTAGCAGTTTTGCATGGCCAGACTTTTGTCAGTGGTGGGCTACTGGGGTGGCTTCTGTGAGAAGCTGCTAGAAGCTTCCCCATGTCTGGCAGAGCCAATGCCAGCAGCTCCAGGATGGACCTGCCGCTGCGGCAAGGGTGAGCCAGTCAGTGATGGTAGTAATGCCTCTGTGATAAGAAATTTATGAAAGGAAAAAAAGTTATTGAGCAGAAGTAATAATGACCACAGAAGAGCGGAGTGAGAATAAGTGAGAGGAACAACTATGCAGACACCCAGTGGAGAATGAGGGGCAGGAGGTACTACAGGCGCTGGAGCTGAGGATCCCCTGTAGCCTGTGGTGAAGACCATGGTGTGGTGACTGTGCCCCTGCAGCCCATGGAGGTTAACAGGGTGCAGAGGTCCACCTGTAGCCCATGGAGGAGACCCATGATGGAGCAGGTGGATTCCCAAAGGAGGCTGCAAATCCATGGGAAGTCCATGCTGAATCAAGCCTCCAGCAGGGACCTGCAGGCTTGTAGAGAAAGGGTGTTTTTAAGGTCTGCATTATTTTCTCATTATCCTGCTCTAATTTTGTTAGTAATAAAATCACTTAATTTCCTCAAGTTAAGTCTGTTTTGCCTGTGATGGTATGCACTGAGTGATCTCTCCTGGTCCTTATCTCTACCCATGAACCTTTTGTTATATTTTCTCTTCCTGTCCATTTCCAGAGGGGTGTGGGAGAATGGCTTTGATGGGTGCCTGGGTGTCTCCTGCAGTCTGGGACTCATTTGGTGCAGATATTTCTAAGTTCTGTAACAAAGGATGTAGGCATCCCGCAGACAGAAACAACACTACTGCAGTGGGTGACTCTCGGGAGAGGAATCTTTCCATCTTGGTCATGGAAGAAGTCAGCCTTCCTCTGGAATGAGGGAGAGGTAGAGAAAAACTGAATGATACCTCATTGGAGTTGCATGCAAGAGTGGGAAGGGTAGAAGCTGTAAGAGATTGAAGCACGGAATTGAAGAGATGCAGCATGGAAATAGACTTAAGTTCAGTGATGTTTTATATTGACATGAAAAGGGGTGTTTCAGCTAGCAAAAGTGTAGCAGTTTAGCCTGTCTTCTTCTAATCTTATCTCTCAAAAGCAGCCAAGCAGTTTTGGTTTTGTTGTACATTAACGTGAAGTGCATTGTCAAAGGTCATGAGGTGAACCCAGGTGTCCTGGGTTCTGTTCCTGAGTTCTGTCTGATGGATCACAGTTGTGAGCCACATACAAAAGATGAGCTGCCTGTCTACTAAACAGTATTTGGGCTGGTTTCTAAACTCTCTGATGATGCTTAGTTGTAAGTGCCTTACTGTAACCCAGTAATGCTGTGCTGTTATTCCAGGCTTAATTATCAGTTTGATATAATGCTAGTAAATGACAGTAAATTTCTAAAAAATTAAAGGTTTTGCTGCCTAATACACTCTGCTTTCTCTGTTAGCTAATTTAGAGCAAGCTATAAAACAGACACTTATTTGGTGTACAGGGGCAGTTCCAGATCACAATTAACATACTGTCTCATACATTCTTTTTGAGTAACAATAAAGTTGAGAGCCTGGAATCATTAAGGAGGTGCATTCTGTTCAAAACTCAGATGAAGAGATAGGTTAGCATTGTCACTTCCTTGATTAGCACTCTCATTTGTTTGACTTTCAACACCAAAATGCAGTAAATGAAGTGATACAAAGAGAACAGTGCACTGTAGTTGCTGTATTTGTGGTGTCTGACTTTATGCAGTCATGCAGCGATGCTCTAATAGCCAAGAAATTCTGCTGTATAATTCAAATGCTGTAAATTGGTATGAGTTCATTGTTTCTTCTTATTGCAGGCTTTTCAAAATGACTGCTAAAATGTTTTGGCAAGAATTTCCACAGTAATTGGTGTATTGTGTTTCTGTTTAAATGCAGTTTAGTAAAGTATTCCTCTAAAGAAAACAGCTTCAGTCTGTTCTGATGTGTGCGTGAAATTTATTCAAGCGCACATTAAGGAAAAAATCCTGTCAGTCAGCTCTGTCTGAATGCCATGGTATGCTTTGAGTTTGCAATATATCTTTCTGCAAAAAACAACTCTCCTTCATTTTGCATTTTCAATGTACTTAATTCCACGTGTAGCATCTATATAAACAGCCTTTAAAATAATGCCTGAAATCTCCTTTACAAAGTCATCAAGAGCATAATCTTGACCTTCCTGGGAATTTGTTTATCCAAATGAAGTAACTACACCAAGCACAGCCCATCCCTTGAAACTGGCTTATCTGGGACACTCCGTGGACAGCTCCAGCCAGCTGAGCTTCCCAGCTATCCTATGAGGAAAAACGAAAGAACGTGGCTGCTTGCAGTACTTTGTTTTGCACCTTTTACGCCAGATCCATTGGATTTGATTGCTGTGGCTCTGCTACAAGGGTGTGCAGCGAAGGTGTTGCCAGAAGCCTTCCTGCTAAGACCTTATTCTCAGGGAGTAGTCTCAAACAGCACATTAATAGTGCTTGCTGGAGTCTTCAGCCCAGATCTCTTTGAGAGAAGAGGTCAGTGAGGCAGGTTCCTGCTTTGGATGTCCGAGGGCTGCAGCACCTGGCAGCCTGGGTATCTGAGGTGGCTGCAGAGGAGTTCACCGCGTCTGTTCGGGTGTGTCCTCTGCTGGATGAAAACCTGGCTTCCCTCCCCTTCCTGGAGCTGCTGCTTCTGCTGAGCTGCCATCTGGCCTGCTCCTGTTGTGGCTGCTCCCTCATGAGGTGTCAAAAGGTTTGATCTTTCATCCGTGTCCAGGCTCTGCTAGTTTGCTTTTTCATACAAGGAGAATTATGCAAGTGGGTAGGCAAGTATAAACCCACATAAAACCGATAGTTAAAAATGGTTCAGGTTTTTTTTTTCCTCTTTTTTTTTTCCTGTTTGTTGATAAATAATTCAAAGCAACAGAAATACTGGTGTGAAATTTCTCTTCAAGTTTAGGTCTTCCTAATATGCAGGAACTCACTCCATAGATTTCTTGAACTCTCTGGCTGGAAACACCAGACCTTTTCTTGGTGCTACAGTGAAAATTTCTTCATTCCTGTGTAAGACTCAAATGCGTGACAAGATCTTTTCTCAGCAGAAGAGTGTTACTGAAAGTGTAAGAGCCTGCCATCTTTTACAATTATCTTTAGCACTTTCATCTGCAAGATCTTCTGTTTTTGTTTCTGGGTGAGAGAATTCTTATCTTCCCACTATCCTGCTGCACTTAACGTTGCTCCTAAGTCTACAAAGCTAATACAGGATCTATCACAGAGCAGGACATGGTTACTTTTAATTTCAGTCCCAGTTGTTCTACCCTGTATCTCTTTTCTTCTCACCAGGAAAATAACTTGCATACTGGTTTAGTGTAGCAGTGTAATAGGTTGCCTCCTTCTACCTCCCCCCCCTTTTTTTAGGTTCCTTGGTTTCTTTTATCTGCTTGTTTAGCTGGCTACTCTTCTCACTCTTAATATCAAGAAGGGCTATTTTTAAACAGGAGTCCATAACATGCAGAAGCAATCACTTGTGATTTGTAATTTAAGCAGAATTTATTCCATTCCTCTATGTCAACTATGAATGGGTCTATCATGCATGTATAATTGAACGTAACTTGATCAGAAGAGCAATATTGAGTTTGCATTCCTCTCAGGTTTTGGAAAGAGATCACAGCAGTAGTAAAATTGCAGTTTCAAAAGCTAAATGGAATAGTTATTAATCCATTTTGTATATTTTAATATAGAGGCAAATTAAACATCCTTAGTTACAGTTTTGCTTTCATTTTCATTAGCTGTTATATGAGATCTCTTTCCTGTTAAACAAATATAATTCTTTTCTCTCCTACTTGAAACAGCTCCTTGCAAGTCATCTGCATTTGTGGCAGAGATTGCTTCTTACCACTCTAATTTGCTGCTTTTAAAAATAATTAGCCTGGAACAGATGCTACGTTGTTGCTTCTTCAGGTTGCACAATAAACTGAATTTTGTGACTAAAATAGACTGGTATCTATTTTTAAAATTCATGCTGTTTCACAGACATTTGTAAAGTTGTTTATTCTGAATGGTCTTTTAATCAAACATAAGCACTCCTCCCTCTGCCTACCCCATTTGCACACTTGTCTATTAGCAGGACAGATTAAAAAACTGAAATCTTTGTAGTATAATGTGAGAAATCCTTTTGCTATTTTAATTCTTGTCATTAATATATTGAGGTTACATTACTTCCTGAACAAACTCTTACTTTTCCAGAAGTACTTACACTACTTGGAAAATGACAAGAGGCCCATTCAGTTAGAAAATGCAATCTTTTTGACTGTGGTTTCAGCAAAGGAATGAATCTTACTGGCCACACAAATGTGGCCTTATCTCGACCCACGAGCCTTTTGTTGTGTTTTCTCTCTGTCCATCTGAGGAGGGAAGTGATAGAACCACTTTGGTGGGTGCCTGGTGTCCAGTCAGGGCCAACCTACCACAAATAGGGAGGTGCTTACCATTCTTAGAAGCAGCAGATTGTATTTCTCTACATGTTTCTACCAAGAAATTATCTTGAATTTATTCTGAGTGCTCCTGTGGAGCTCTATATTCTTTATTTCTGAATTACTAGAGTAAACACCAGTAAATTTAAAAGTGAAATAAAGCACATACGTTTGAAAATGGACAGAATACCAGTGTATTTTAGCAAAAGATGACAGTACAGAAATGCAGCATTGTGACTAAAATGTAAATCTACCAATTCTGGTTTTATCTCAAATGTATGTTTACTTCATATTTCAGTTGCCCAACTTTCTGATTGACTGACTGAAAGGAGTGCTGGATACAGCATATTGATGTGCACTATGTTTTAGAAAAGTGAGATGCATTCTGTTGCATGACTGATGTTTAATTAAAACACCAGGAACTAGTATTTTAGAAATTGCAAAATAAGGTTCTCAAAGATATACACAAATGGAAAGCTACATGACACAGATCCTGAATCAAAGATGGGTTAGAAAAGTTTTAATGGCGTATCTTGTACATAACATGGTATTAAATGGTGAACAATTTGCAGGGAAAGTTGAGTAATTTCCTGTGTGGGTGTTTTATTTTATTTTAAATCATGTAAACTTTTCACCAGTTGCCCTTTTCATTGA